TATTTTAAGCCTAGAACGAACTACAAGCGTTAATAAGAACTGGAGATATAAGAAAAATAATTTTAAAAAAATATCAAACTACGAAACGTCCATAAGAAATGTATGGTGCAGAGTTTTCTTTTGTATATATCTTCTAAATGAATAAAGCTATTAAAAAACGGATTTCGGCATTGAAATCAGTGTAAAAATGTAGTTGGTAATGATGTGTCACAACACTATCATTACATTGAAAAAAATTATCTATGTCCAATATGGCGGATCCAAGATGGCGGCCAAAAACATGTTCCCTATCAAAATGAAGTACTAACCACTCAATAAATACAGGTGGTGGTCCCAAGTCAATATCTCGAAAAATGTGCATAGCAAATGCATGTGAAATATGTTTTTTTAATTTGTCCAATGTTGAAAAAAGCCGCCATTTTAAATTGTGATTTTAGTGGTTTTCTCGTGCACCGATTTTTGGCAACTTTTAGTATGTCATTCTGCAAACCCAACTCTACAAAATAAAACCATAAAACGTTTTCTTGCAATTTTTTTAACGGTCCCTATGTAAGTTTGTTTAGTTTGCCTGGACTATTGCGGCGTTCAGTTATCATTGTCGGTTGATCAGTTCAGTTTTCAGTTGTAGTCGGGCTCGGGAGTCGGGCGTTGCCGCGTTGTCCAGACAGGATGCGTTATTCTAGTTCGTTTCAGAAGTTATCGTTGCTCTGGTAGCGTTGCGGCAACGGCACTAATGGCAATGCATGATTTCGTTTTCGTTGTCGCGCGGCTTTCCTGCAACATTGTGTAGATAGATACGTTATTATAATAACAGGGAGTTCTCCGCAACGTGTTGCCGCGATAACGTTGCCGTGGCCGCAACACTGTTATTCATCCTGTTATGTTATAACGCCCATCTCTACCGAGTACCGATCTACCGATAAAATCGATGCTTTCGGAGCTAAAACATCGATCACATCGATGTTTGTTCCGAGTTTCTCGTCTGGTCTAAATAAACTAACACAGCCAATTAACCTAAAACCAATACAATTCAGTTACGGAAAACATCAATATTTCATTACTTTTGTTGGCCTAAAAGACCGATGTAACAAACCAAATCATCGGTTCGGTAATCTACCATCGATGTAAACAAATAACTTCGAACATCGATAGAAAAGACATCGATGTTTCGAAAACATCGACAATCGGAATTGATACTCGCTCTCATTCTCTACCACGATTACTAGCCCGAATCCTAAATCCTATACTAATAGCATTGAACATATGTTTTAGCAGTTCCATTTAACCAATGTTAAATCATGTTTATTTTCGGGCCAAAAACGTCATTTGTTGATGTTTATGATCCATACCGGGTTTTTTCTAGTAATCGTGTTCTCTACTCTCTACTCTACTCTAGTGTTCGTGTGGAAGGAAATACAGAGTAACCATAACCTAAAAGTTTTAAACTGATCTGAAACTTAGAAACGAGTCAAACGTTTGAAGTAGTGGTGGACACTGGACAGTAAGATCACTTGTTGCACTCGTGATTCAGTTTTGTGCTTCTTATAATTGATTACCCAACATTCAGTGGAACAAGTGTTCAGATTAAATATTTTTTATTACTACTTCCGATACTTTACAACGTTAAAATAAGAAGTACCTTGCCTTGCCATAAAGGTCAAAATGGCTTGCGCCGGCTGGAACTTAATCGTCTTCTGTGTTTGTTTTGGTCAAATATGTCGTCATTTCAAACTACTGTCAGTGTTGAGTAAATGTGTTACAACGTGAGATTAAGTTTATTTATTTAGGCCTAAGTTGCAAGAAGTCAATGTTGTGCTGAAAAATGGTGATTTCGTTCTGAGGAAGGTAAATGTAAATGTTTTGTTGAAGCATATAACTAGGTGTTTTCAGTCAATACCAATCTAACTAATGAGATGTAAATTTAATTAAATAATTGTTTTAACTGTGATTTAAACCTGTGTAGGCAAAAAATAATATATAATCTGATCCAATCTGAAGAAACATCCTCCTAACTAAGTTTATTTTAACCTTTTCTGTAACGTAATTAATTATTTTTTTATTACTTAATGTAAGTTAGCCTATGTCTAAACTTACATACATTCCATAACTTTTGTTTCGTTCTTAGCTTTAACTAAATATTTATTTACATAATCTTACCTTTTTAGTGTGTTTTTATCAGTCAGTCGGTAACCTTTAATCTTCTCAATAAATAAAAGTTGGTTCAGGCCTAACTTAGCCTAGATTCAGCTTTGGATTACAATGTAGGCTAGCCTACTGTGTTACAGTATAAAGTAATAAAGTGCATGTGCGTTTTAGTAGGCCTAGATATGGCCCATTACTAAGTTAACCGTTTCTTGATCATGTTCTTAACATTTGTTTTTATAGTAGCCTATTATCTTAATTTGATGTTTAGACAGTAAAGTTCTAGGCCATTGCTGGATTAACTAAGTTAAACCTTTTATGTTTGGATGCAATGTTTTTTAGGTTAGGCCTAGACCTAACTACCAATCCGACTTATTTTTTTATTTATTATTTCTTCTAACGTTTGAATTTATCATTAGCCCTATGATGTTGTTAAATCAGATGTTTCAATTTTTTTAAATAATTACCGTACATCGTATTATCCCACACAAGATTTTTATTAATATCCTTTTTCATCTGTGATTTTACTTTTTTAGACTGGATAAATTATATTAAATTCTTATTATTAACTCTAAAATAAACGCATGAAATGTGTTTTATTTGATAGTAGCACACAAAACTATATATTGTCGATAAATTAATGTACAATTCTGAACTAGGCAACACTCTTTTATGGTGAAATTGTGCGAGCATATACCCCATGAATTTTTCAAAACTACCAATGAAAACCTTGAATTATGCATGAATTTTTTTATCTCACTTTGGTGGCAACCCTGGTTTAAAAGACTCAACTAAAAGCTTATGTAACTAATGGATACGTTAATACCGATTTGATATATTGAACACTACTTGTTGATATTTTATCATTTGTTAAAAGCTGGTCTTGTTTTTTAGTGTTTTCTACAAATGTTTCCCCAAAGCTGTTGCTGTTACCAGTAAAGATTTCTTTTAAAAAAACCTTTCCTATATCAAATGCATTTTATTTGTTTTAACACTAGGCCTATATGAAATGGGGCCACTAGTGTTATACACAACAAACATTTTAAGATTGAAACATTGTTTAAATTTATTTTCTAACAATTCGATAAATGCTTCAAGTAAACATGGATCAATTAGTTGTAAATGATAAATAAAAAACTCGGGGGTTTTTTGGGTAGGAATTTGGAAAAAAAATGGTCATAAAAAGGTGTACTTACATAGAGAATAGACAGTGTTTGGGTCAGTAATAAAAAAAAGGTAATGAAAAGGCAGAAGAATGTTGGGAATTCCATTAGAGAAACCTGGTAGAAACCCTGACATTATGTTCTTTAAAGTCCCTTTTTAAAACGTTACTATCACAGTTAATAGGTAAATGTTGCCCAGGCTACTAGGGTACTAGATCATTAATTGTGTAGGCGGGCCTGGCATTGGAGTAGGCAGTAGCGCAGGTGGATCCTGGGGCAGCCGAGGTCAGCTGCAGGTCAAGTCCCAGGATGACTATCTCTGGAGGTGGACCCCGTTGAGGAAAATATGTAGCCTAACTTAGCCACTCATTATCAAAAAGTTAAATCACAATAATCAGGAAAAATGTTAAAATTTGTGGCTCAAACTTTTACAACAACTTTAACATGAGTGGCTAACCATAGCTTTTGACGCTATGACGGTCTGGTTCAGTCCTTAGACCACCAAAGCCTGACAGCACACAACCAACACACAACACACTGACAGCCTACATACTATATACTAAAATGAGTTGGGGATACGCGAGTGGCGACACGAGCATTGACCTGGCTCAACGTAAAACGCTCTGTTGTATCCATTAGAATTTTTGAACTCATTATGACTTTCAGGTTTGTCACCTCATAAACCCATGCTCCTAAGAACTCTTATTATCTAGTTGATCAAAAACCTAAATGCTAAGCAGGTCCTAAGATTGGTTGTAGCTCACTTGGGCAACTACACTATCATAGCGAAGTTGGCTGACTCCGGTCAACCTGTTCGTCATAATAATATGCAATAGTCTGCAATATCTCATATTGACTAAGAAGGAATTCTCCTTTAAAGTTACCTTTGCCATGACTACCTCGTTTTTTTCTCACACATTTAGTTGTTTGTGGGGTTGTCAAGGGTGCAATTTTTTTAGTGGAAACTATGTCTGTTTTTTTGTGGAAAATTGTAATTGATTATGTTTTGAAAAAGTTAATCTAAAAATGTAAACCCACATGTATTCCTTAAGTGAGAATTATTACTTATATAACGACACATTAACTTTGCAGTATTAACTGTAAGTTTTGTACTTCAATCAAGTGGGATTTGAGGGGGGTACAGTGTGAAGGATTTTCACAGGTCGGCTACAGTAGACTCCCTCTTATCTGGACACCTTTTAACCGGCCATCTTTTTAACCGGACAATTTTTATCAGCAAATCGGTTTAACCGGACTAGATCGGCAGGAAGTGGGCGGTACTGAAACTACTGTTCTCGTGGGAAAGATTTGAGACCAGTGATCACGTGTCTAAAATAAATTTAAGTCAAGTAACTGTTTACAGCATGCAATTAAACGGTCTGTTTTAACAAGTTTTCATGGTTCATGGGAACACGGTTTAACTGGAAAACCCATTATCCGAACTAGCCTTGGTCCTGAAGAGTCCGTTATAAGAGGGAGTCTACTTTAGTATAATTTGAATCTAAAGATCATTGATTGAACATATTGCTACAGTGATTTGTGTTGTGTTGCTTTTTTCTTAAATTTAAACTACTTTGATAAAGTTAAAACCAGCCCAGAGTAATGTGGCCTTACATTTAGGCAGTTGGATTTTGACTTCAATTCCAGTCATAAAATCTTACATAGACGTTATTCTCTAATTGATCTTGTTTACAGCCAAAATGCCTGCAGCTGGAGATGAGGGTTATGAAGTCTTCGTGATCTGTCCCTACGACCGAGCACATGAGATCAGAAAGGGACGGATGCAGTTCCACATTGAAAAGTGTAGAAGAAACTTTCCCGGTTCAGATCTGGTGGAGTGTCCCTACAACAAAATACATATGATACCTGAACCTGAGCTCAACGTGAGTTATCTTGCAGCATTTTAACTTGACTCACTGATAAATTGTTGCTGCTCTCTATTTTTGGAAATTAAGAAAACCCTTATCTCACCCCCCCCCCCTATATTTTGCCATTTCTTCTTACATGTTTGCCCTCACAAACTCAATAATTAATTGTCGTGATAAGTCAATCCAAGCCTTAACTTTTTGTTACTAACTCAATAATATTTTGGAGAGGTAGAGAGAGAGAGAGGTTTTGCCAGAAATTAAGCCCCACATAAATTGTATTTCAGCTTCATACAGGCATTATCTAATAACATAGGCCCCATATCACTAAAATAAATGGGGACATTAATCTTTAATTTACAGGGTTATGTACACATATTTCTTATTATTCAGAGTAAAATGGTTTAAGCCATGCTGAAATTTGTGATCTAAGTGACAAGCCTTGAACTATGACGGTGACAATATTGGGTTTCCATTCAATAGGTTTTCAAATGGCTAAATTTTTTAGTTAAGCCAACTAGACTACAGTATAAGGTTGAGAATTTAGCTCCTTGTCAGAAAATCTAACTCATTGTATTCTGAGATTTTACAATAATGTATGTAGAGCGAGCATTGAGGATTGCACGATCGAAAGATTCACTCTTTCACCACGATTGTGGATGACAACGATACAGAAATGTTTGTCCGATCGCAGAAGACGATAACGATTCCTCTGTAACAACTGCAGGATATGTTCCATATTTTTCTGCACTTGTAGATGGACGATGATGATGTTTTTATGATTGGGGGAAATGTTCAATATTTAGTTGTAGTAATTCTGACAATTTTTTATTATTTTTATGCTTACATCCAGAGTACTACCTGAGTTTTTAACCATTTCAAAGTGCCACAGATAAATTGTATTATTTGCTCGCATATTTTTTCACATGCCATTGAAAGTAGGAAATGTGTGAACAGCTTGAATCAGGCTTTATTCACAATTCCCCTCCTATAAACAAATATTTATAGGAGCATGACACCTAATACTTTTCTTAACTGAGTTCACGTTTGTCAAATTTGACAAAACTACTTGTCTTTAGCCCCCCCCCATACATGTTTCTCTATGTTTTCAGTACCACATAGAGGAGGAATGTTCAGACAGACGTAATTGGGAGAGATATACTCACGATGATGAGGTTGCTGTTTGTCCCGTAAAAGATCTTGTTCCAGTAAACGCAGCCACCCTTCCCGATGGTGATGAGAATTGGGACAATGTAAGTGTTATTAACTTGACTAATAATTAATAACACTGACACTCACAACCTTTTATAATATACATTAAACTAGGGATTGGTTATTTGCAAATCTTCATTTTAAACCAAATGATTATTGTTTATCTTAAATTTATACAGGGCAAAAACTGAGAAACGTAAATGTATGCTTTGAGAAACGTAAATTAAACGTAGATTTTTATGTATTAAAAATAAATCTAATGGTGTATTAATTTCTCACTAGTCGTACATCGTTGAATGACAAATTTTCCTGGTTTAAGGGAAGAATATTGGAAAAAAGAGATAAGTTTTAGCATAGCTTCTTCAAATCCAAACCCGAGTTGTCGACGCCGATCTCTGAGATCACAGAGGCTCGGCGGATATGCCACCTGTCGCAAAAGTAAAAGGTGTGCTCGAGTGTGTCTGCAATGCTGGGACTGAACAGACAGTCCAAGCTGGTGGCCTTCCCCATTCTCAAAAAGGCCCAGAGGTACCTACGATCTGACAAAAAACTGGGGCATGAAATACCCAACCTTGGCAATGCCCCCATTCCGCCTATCGTCGGATGCTGGAAATGAGCCTCGTGGTCCAACATTTCCTAGACTCTCCCATTTGATCTGCCAGCGTTTGAAATCCTGTTCTTCTCTGGCAGCTGTCTGCATGATTCAGGTCTCCTTTGGTAGATCTTCTTTTGCTCCCTTTTAAAATGAAAGATAGGAATGACACCAGCAATTACATTGAATCAATAGACATGTTTTAGCCCTTGAGCTGAATTGATGACTATAATATAATTGTACAATTACCTCGTCACAGCTCCGTAGTTTCCGTATATATTACGGCCGTTTTGGCATCAAAATGCCATCCTCAGATACATACATCCACCGGATTTGGCGTCGTCAAACTTGATACACACACGTAACATGATAACAAACATAAAAAAGAAAGACAGGCCTGTCGCGCACATGATGAGTACGTGTACGGAAGCTGACTGAATTACATTGACTGCAGGCTCGTATACCATGCGGTAGGTATTTTAAGCATCTCGCAAGGCCCCTTGATGGTAAATGCGGGAAAGTCGTTCATGGAAAACAGTGAAAACACGCTTCTCCAGCACATGGGCCCAGCATCGTACAAGAGTACTGATTGGACGGCAGACATCAGTACGCAGTGTTTGCAGGAGTGGGGATCACTGATGTTTGGCGTAACCCTACTAAGGGCAACGACTCTCTTATCAGCCTTGTCAGCCGTTCGCTTGATCTGCTTGCTGAAAGACAATTTTGCTGTCTGTCATAACACCAAGGTAATTTGGCATATGGCTCCCAGTTGGAGCTCCAGTTGCACATCGTCCACTTACTCAGGAAGAACAGAAGGAATCCTCTTCTTGGTAAGGACCACAATATCAGTCTTTCCGACCATCAGGAACAAGCCGTGGTCCTCCATCCACTCGTTGACTTGGAGTATCTCTATTTTGAGTTTAAGCTATGTATTCTTGTCCCTTTACGCTTAAACTAATTGCCTTTAAAATCAAGAACAATTTCTTGCCTGCATCCATTAAAAACCTGTTCAGACAAGTTTTAAAAACTACTCTAACCCAGGCGTGCCTGTACAAACATGAAGAGTACTTTGGTTTAGAGTTTTAGTTATTTTAGTTTTAATGCCACAGCTATCTTGATTATTGTTTTGTTTTTCTTTTGACGATTGTCATGAACTTTTTATAGTTTTTAACGACAATAAATCATTCATTTCATTTCATTTCAAGTGTTACTTGATTGGGCTTTATATTTAACAATTATTTTAAGCTGCCCTCAAAATACCCCATTTTGGGTGGCCTCTGGGGACCTCAAAACGAAAATTAAATCGGTCCTGGACCCACGTCTTACCATGAGACCTAGGGTAATATCTTATTCCCTATATATCGAAAATTTGCCATCATCATTTTACTTATGATAAGTAGTTCAATTTACCCTATGTGTCTGTTATCACTAAATTATTTTTTTTTTCTAGTTTGAAGCCCAAGGGTCAGTTCTGAACAACATCAAAAGTGAAGCCCAAGAGAAACCCATATTGCGGATGCTGCAAGTTGCTTCAAAGGCTTCTCGAAAGAAGTTCAGGATGGAAGAGCGAAAGCGTCATGGAGACCTTGCAGACCTTGCGAAGTCAAGTGCTGACTCAATGAGTGACACTGCATCTGTTATTTCAGTAAGTAGTTCTTTCAGACCTGTATAGTTCTAGGCTTAGGTGTAGCAATAGCTAAGAATTACCCCCTTTTAACCCTTAAGGTGGCAAAAATGACACTAATAGGCTAGGTACCAATATTTAGTTTTAATAAGCTTATCGCACCAATATTTAGTAAGGAAAAGGAAATGGTTAGAGGCCATCTTTGTGTTGACTGATTCTTGATACAGAATAATACTGTAATTTTTCATCTTATCAACAACGTCGACACCACTCGGGCTGTAGATGTTGATTTGCCTTCACAAATGCGCGTTGATATGCACTAAGAGGATATTTCTCAAGGTAATCATCCCTAATGTGATGATTAATTACTTTTACTACTGACTTAAGCATGAAAGACAAAAGGCATATGCTGGGCCGGTTCTGTCAGTTTTTTTCAAGAGAAATACCGCCCTTTCCTCCAACAAGTTGGGCTATATCCCAGGGCAAAGCTGCAACTGAACAAGACTATCATGTGGTGTATAAGGACATCTAGTCCTTCCTGAATGAGAGCTGGGAATACTCCGTTCCCACCTGGAGATTTGAAAGGGCTGAAAGATCCGACAGCCGACTTGAACAGCTTGCTTGAGAATGTTCTTGCTGTGGCTGTTTCCCTAGGTGATTTCCTTTCCCAGGGTTTAGGGTATTGTCCTGTTATCCCGCCTATCGTAATGTTCCCTGGGAAATGGGTGTTCAGTAGGACTTGAAGGGTTTCTTCTATACATGATGTATGTTTTCCATCCTCCCTTATTAATGAAGCCAGAGGATTCAGCACCTCTCTTTGCAAGTTTTTTTTTGCAATCTGGCTGCTTCTACTAGGTTCTTTATCCCCTCACAGAACAGCCTCCAGGTTTTCTTTTTACTCTTTCTTATTTCCGAGTTGTACTCCGTTAGGTTATCCAAGGACTATTTTGGCGTATATATATATTTTCGGTATTTATTGAAATGAATACAGTAAGCTACTTGGAATAACCATTATTAAGTTTTATCAATAAATTATCATAGACATAAAACACACTGTTGGTTGGTCAATGGTATTATTTTACGGTTAATGTTCTTTCATAGCAGAGTGCCAACCAGACGGTTTGAATAAACCATTGTTTTTGTTATTCTTTGACAGCTGTAAAAATTAATTCAAAAAAATAAAGCACTTTTTTCTTTTTTCCTTCTTATTTTAACATTTTTACTTGGTTGGCTGGTTACCGACAGCAAACTGGACTGGACTGGACGAGCTGTCTGCAGGATAAACAATAGCAGTGTCAGTCTTCTTCATTACGATATTTTGATATAGAAATGAATGCTTCAGGTTATAGATCAGGTCAAATTTAAACAAAGTGTAATTTTATACATTTTTTAAAAGATCTACCTTAGTGTTTTGTTTTCAATAATGAGGTGTGTTGAACAATGTATGTCGTGTTATTTTTTTCCTAAGCTATTCTTCGTTATTTGGAAAAAAGGTTGCACCAACATTACATATTATAATTTTTCATTTGCTATGTGTTGTTTTATTGTTTGAAGATATATTTTACAAATGTTTGACTTCAAAATTTGAGGTACTGTAACCTTAACCTCAAAATGTATGCGACCTCTTTTTTGTCTGAGATTCATGGTAATCAACATCCCAAAACCTCGGTTAATCGGAATTGTACTGCAATAGCTTATTTCCTATATGGGTAATTGGCAAAAAAATATGAAGATTAAGAATACAAAGTGGCTTTTGGAATCTGATCAGTAGCAATTTTTGCTAAGTTAAACAAAAATATAACATTGTTCTATTTTTAAACTATGTTTCTAATGTAAACATTTAAATTTGTCAAATTAGCACTTGTTAAGAAGTCTTAGCAGATATTCTTATATATATCTGCTTATATATATATATATATTCAAATATTCTTAGCAGACTTCTTAACAAGTGCTAATTTGACAAATTTAAATGTTTAAGTCTAGCGACTTATCTTATTTTTCCCCCAGGTCAAATAAGAGATCACATGTGTGTTGCGGCTCCTGCAATAGTATAAGAAAATAAAAATGAAGGCTTTATTATATTTGTGGGAAGGTTTTGTTAAGTTTTGTTATTTATCTGTAAAATCAATATGTCCCAGTTTGTTTATTATTAAATAAAAAAATCTTGTAATAGTCCATGCAAAGATGTAACCAACAACTAAAGTAAATGAATAAACACCTGGTGGGAGATATTGTCGATAAAGACTTTATCTGTGTGATCATAATCCAACCAGCATCAAAACCTTGTATGTGGTATGAACTAAATAATCTAAAAATGGTGTAAAATGTTAATAAATCCATTAAATATTACTTTTACCTGATCAGGGGGCACAACAATTAGTATATGGTATGTATTTTTCAGAACAGCAGAGACCCCCTATCTAGGCCTAAACTCCAACCAGCAGTGTCCAGGCACAAAGCTAATCCAAACGAAGCGACTGCTATAATTTCAAAGATGAACACAATTGACATAAACGCCAAGCCACCAGCAGCCGATGTCGCCCCGTCAGAGTCATCTTCATCAGTAGATCGTCCGCCCTCCGTCGTTGAGGCTGCTTCTAGCTCTCGCCGCACTTCTACACTGATGAATAGTGCACCATATGAAGAAGAGAAGACAACTACACCTCAGGTGTGTATATTTCGTAGTCTGAGACCCTGTACACATGGGAGCGTTGCAACGCGCATTACATGTCGCGCATTGCAACGCGCGTCCTAGAAACAGCAATCAAATGAGTGCCTACACATGCAGCGCCAGTGCTTCGGCAACAGCGCGTTGCAACGTGCGCTTGAGAGGTGCTAGCAGCGCGCTTCGAGGTTCTAATGGGACCGTACCCATGTGAGCGTTGGAACGCACGTTTTGGAGTAGAGGGGAGTAGGTTTTATGTATGTTTACTGTGTACCTATACACAATACCTTATAGTAATTACCAGGTTCTCTTCTGTTGAAATATAATCCCTAACAATGCTCTCACAAGGTGCTAGACAGACTTCAACTTTCGTTAAATAAAGCAATTAGCATGCTTTAGTAATTAAAAGCTTATGTTCATATCCTCGATTAAGTTACAAAGTAAAAAAGAAAAAACATACGAGCTAAACTTTCTTGTAAAATTGGATGTTCCAAGTGTTGTTATGGAATTTTCCCTGGGACAGTTACCCGGGACCGCTTGACTTTTTTCATTTTCATTTCCACAAAGGCCAAAAACATCATTAATTTAATATTTTATAATTAAAATATTAAATTAATCTGCAACGGGGGTATTTTGATTTGGGTTTCTTTCTTTATATTATAGTACAACTCCCAAACCCTTTTTGACTTTTATGGCTATGCCGAGACATGCCATGAGACAATTGTTCAAATGTGCGTTGCAATGCTGTCATGTGTACGCAGAGGCTTATCTGAAGCGCGTTACAATGCGGTTGCAACGCTCCCATGTGTACGTAGCCTGATTATTACATGAATGCTGAACAATAAAATAAGTTTAGACGGATCTGATGTGGATAAAAAGCTCTTGTTTAACTTTGCATCTGCTGGAAGGTCATATTATAAAAGTTAGATTTTTAAGCTCAACGATTGGTAAAAAGTGGGATCAACCAATGTTTGAAGTGTGCACTTCAAGGGGAAATTTGTTGGCTAAAATAGTCAATATCAAGTCAAAATAGTCATAGAAATAAAGACCCATAATACTTAAGAATTAGCACAAGCATAATATGTGTGCGCAGAGGAGTTTCTACAGGAGTAATGCAACAATAATAATCAATGTTGTTAAAATTCAACTTGCATATTTTTTGTAACAAAGTACATACGCTATTCATAATTTAAGTGTAAAATTTATTGTTTTGTGGTGTTGACAGATGCTATTTCTATGCAATAGTAAATTAATACAGTTATGTCACTAACTTCATTTTCCACTTTTTCATTGCTACTTCATGAGAGTTTATATAACTATAAAACATAGTAAAACTAAGCGTAGATACATACAGCTAAAGTTCTCATACCAATAATACAATAATACAGGGTGACTCTAAATTATTGTTACACTTTTGAAACTCAATAAATGAAAAACCATACAACCTATCATCACGGGTTGAGGATCAATTAAAAGAGGAGATTCTAAAGTTTCGTTTGACACCACTTTGGTAAACATAGTTGCAAAATTAGCCTCTAAAGACATTTTTAGATTTCAACAATGATTTAAAATTAATTACACACTTTTACCTCTATAAATCTGAAAACTTCATACTCGTAAATTGTCAAAAGTTTTAAGTAATACTGCTAGGGGATGTTTTATAATTTACCGCTCAGTAATTGTTGTCCGCCATTATTTTAAGCTGCAAGGAACCTTCAAAGATCAAAAAGTGTTCTGTGTTTAGAGTTTGGGAAAACTCAATCTTCGAATGGATGTGTACTGTGCAGCCAGAGGAGGCATAGAGCATTTATAGTTAATAAGTTATGTAATCGTGTTTTTTTTAAACACCTACTATGTTCATAGTTTTTTACGCCCTGAGTTTCATAGATTTTAAATTGTATAATTAATTTAATTTAAAACCGTTGTTATATTAAAAAAATTACTGTAGAGGCAAATTTTGCAACTATGTTTACCTAAGTGGTGTTAATCAAAACTTTAGAATCTCCTCTTTCAATTGGTCCTCAATTCCGCGAGGATAGGTTGTATGGTTTTTCATTTATGGAGTTTCAAAAGTGTAACAATATGAAATCACCCTGTGTTGTATATATAACTGTCCATTTAGGTAATCAGAGTTAGACCCGGTCTTGAGAGTGTCTTTAGAGTTTGTAATGTAAATGTTGAAAGATTGCAACTGTTGGTATGTTTCAGATGGCATTCAGCTACGCAGCAGTTTCAAAGGCACCTGCTGGTAGAGGCAGAGGTGCTTCAGGCCCTTGGGTTCCATCCCGTCCTGGCTCTGCTATGAGCAATGTGTCCAGTGGCACCTACGGCACTGCCATGTCCAGTACTCCCTCTACGGCACATCGCCAGTCCGGTGTGGCATCTCGCCTCGGCAACATGGCACCTCCGTCAAACGTCTCTAACAACTCTCGTCCATCCAGCGTCATGTCCAACTCATCCTACTCATCAGCAGTTTTCTTATCGAATCCAAACGAAGACGGGTTTTGCCAGGTTCCCATTCCAGGCCTAGGTCGTGGACGCAAAAATGCCAGTTAAGCAATTCGATGATCAACCATTGCACACTGCTTATGTACTTTTATTTTGTTTGTATCAACTATGGACCATGTATTTGTGAGGCCTGTGCCCCTCGGGAGATGGGGAAATATTAAAATTGTTAGCTTTTGAGGTAAAATTGTATTTCATTGCAGTTTTTATGACAGTATCTTTTGTATGTTTTAGGAAATAACTATTATGTTAATTGAAACTCGTGGTGGTTTAATTCTCTTATGATTTTATAATAATTAGGTTAATTGATAACTATGCGTTATGTGATTGTGGGACGTTTAGTTTCAGTAGAACAACGCAGTACTACTAACCAAAAAATGTATATGTGTTAAAAGAGTAATCTCTGCCCTCTCTCTGTTTTATTAGGTTAGTTTTATATTCACTGTGGATACTAAGAAATCCACAGAAGTTAAGTTTTATTTAGATTGTGCTCTTGAAATGAGAGGGGCTGTGTTTAGTTTAGATAATAAGTATGCTCTTGTTTTTCAATGAAAGTGATCTTTATAAGAAGTATCTTAGGCACCATACATTTAGCCCTTTTACTTACGAAATGCAACATCTAAGGAATATTGTATATAACCATGTAAGTATCCATGTAAGTGTAAAAGATGCCAAATACCAGTTCCCATTGATTAAACCCCACCTGTTTTGCCCTTGCACTTACCAAATGCATAGTGAAAAATCTATTGTATATAACCATGTAAATAATTAATCTGATAAAGAAACCAATGCAATTTTTTGTACAATGACAGATATTGAACGTTAGTTTCTGTTTCATCAGTATTTTTTTTTACCCATCAAAATGTTTTATTTTTCCTAATTTTACCTGAAATTAAGTTGAAGGTTAGTAATGTTTTATTTGACCTAGCCGAAATTAATTTGAAAACCTAAAAACATTGTCATTGTCAGTGCAGAAGTATCGGTTTAACCCTGAAAAATAATTATTATAAAATTCACATCCTTGCATTTGGTAGAATATAACAACTTTATAGTAAGCTACAGAAGAGCCTTTTGTTGTCTGTTTCCATTTTATCTTTAATGTGTTGTGGAATAGCTTTGTTTAGAGGTTAAATCTTAACTATGTCTTTGTATCAATAATTTTTTTCTCTGGTGACTGGTGAAGTTAGAATTGTTACTTTAGTCATCAAAGGGACAATCATACCACGTTCAACATTACATTAAACATAGGAGATGACTTTTTCATCAACATGAGGGTATAACAATAAAAATACAGGTGGTAACTCTTGAAGACAGCTATCCCCTTGATTTTAATTAATGTTTAGTTATTAAAGGATTAGTTTAAGTAAACATACTCTTGTTTCTTTACCAAATAATACAAACTGTAATTGATAATGTCAATAAATTTTCATGTTTTGAATTTTCACAATTATTTCAATCCTTTATATTTTTAACATTAATCTAAGACGATTTGGTTTGGTCCTTGATAATGTGTGCCTAGGCTTTCATGCTCATAGTAATTCTTTTTATTTTAAATTCATCACACAGAGATTTATTTTCTTCATAATGATTATAGAAACTTTCTTTAGGTTAAAGTTCTAACTTAGGCTAGTTAAAGTAATGCAAGTTTTATATTGTAAGATGCTGAAGGATTTTCTTTATATGAAAGAGTCATATTTTTTGTAAATTACATTACTTTAAGTATTTTACTTTAGTCGCATTGAAAGATTTAAAAAGTAACAAAATGCCAATAGCATTAGTGCATTATGATACAAGTTTTTCAACAATTATTTTCACAGTTTTGGAAAGTATTTGAAGATTAATTTTCCAAATGGAGAATAATGTTGATTAAGATATATTCCCTTAGTTATTTCTGTGCTACGGTAACACAACATGTCTTGGACTTCAAGTAGAGAGTTTATTATCTCCTAGTTTTACCCTCTATGTGACTCATCGTAAGGACATAAGATACAAGAATAAGGTCTTGAAGTTTTCCCCTAAGTGTTAAAAAGAATTGACATCAAAATAACTCATTTGTCATGCAAAATACTACAAAATTGATAACTGAACTATTTTAACAACATGAATATCATGAATGAACAGACCGTAAATGATAATGATAATGATACTATTCTCAAGATACGAGTAGATATGGTCATCGCCAAATTTGTACTGTTGCGTGATGCAATTAATAAGTTGAGAAGTGTTAAATAACCAAGATAACATAATGTTATTAGTATGTGAGTGTATAAAAATGGTAAGTTATTGATTTAAAACATCGAGATAACTATTTCATTAGGTCAGTTTCACTCAACTCATCAAGTGGTGAAGTTTAGGTAAGAAAATGAAAATATATATATTTTTAAGACAACTTCTATTTTTAGTCAAATTGTTATGATACCTAATTTACTATTGCACACTATTATATATTGGTAAAACCATTGACTATACACAGAGTAGACTTCCAATAGAATGTAAAAATTATTTGAAGCCAAGGAAATAGATGAGGCTCAGGACTATCTCACCATAGGGTACTAGAGGTGCTAGCATTAACTATTGGATGCTGAAGTTGTATTATTAGTCAAAGGTACTAGTGTATTGGGTGAATCCCATAATCTAAAACATGCGCGTGTACGTGCAAACTTTTATTTTCGTCCAAAGATTTTTGATTTTGTAATAGAAAATAGGGTATTTGGCCACAAGAAATTGATTGCAGTTGGACACAATTCTGGGAAATCTGGTTTCTGTCCTACAGCCCTTGAAAGTGCCCATGTTATCGTCAATACCTTTTTGTAGCGGCAGTTAACAAAACAGCTGTTACAGGTTATTTTTATTGTCATAATAATTTGATTTGAAGGGTAAACAAAAATAACTGCATTGGTAAGTTTGGACTAAACATTTTAAAGAATAGTTGTATTTAGTTAGTTTATTATGTACATATTAGTGTTAAATTTTCAAGGTTAATTTTTGAGATTAAAAAAGAAACGAGGAAGACTTCTGAAGTGAAAATATTTACAGAATTTGTAAGGGAGAGAAGCTACAATCGATCACCGAGAAACAAATTGTAAACAAACCAGATCCAACCAGCTCAAATGTCCTCAAACCTCTTAAGTCGTGGATTTAGAGATAGTTTATTGAATAAGCATAATGCATCCACATTGCAAGCGGAAAATATTCAAAAATTTGAAACACCGCGCAATCCTTGCTACGCTTAATATTGAAACTGTAAAGATAAACAAGGAAATGATTCAAATGCTACTGGGCAATAAGAAGGTTTGCAAAAGTTTTGATTAAATAATTAACCTAATTAACAAAAGCTTTATTGAAACCGAGCGAAGCTCAGTTTCCAGGTACTATTGATTAAAATCAATGCCAACAGCTGATTGATTTATCACTTGAAACAGAATATCGTCATTGGTTGGTAGACAATCTCAACAGATTGCACCACTTTTTTGGGTACAAATTTTTAATTATATGGGAAGTCTACTCTGTGTATAATCAATGGCAAAACTCATTTAAACCTTTAGAATATTTACTACTATATAGTGTGTTTGTTAAATAATATATGGGCCACGGCATGGTGGAAGGAAAAAACATAGGTGTGCTATTCCCACATATTCTGATGTCACTCGGATTGCAAACAAAAGATCATCTGATTGTAACTGTGAAATTAGTAGGTATTTGTTTTTATTTGATTGTTATTGTTTTTATAATAAAAAAAATAAATCAAAACAAATACATGTACTAATTTGACAGTTACAATCAGATGATCTTTTGTTTGCAATCCGAGTGACGTCAGAATATGTGGGAATACCACACCTATGTTTTTTCCTTCCACCATGGGGCCACGGGGTATGATATAAATAAAAAATACCCCCGCCGCAGCATACCTATACAGACAAAGCAGATTTTTATTTGACCCATTGAATTTTTACCCTTTTAGGGACAATTGTCATACCATCTGTGGGTAACATTTACTAGAATTAAATTTGGAAAAACAAATATAAATCATAAATAAAGAACAAAGAACATTTGATGTAACAAAGGAGACATAAAGAGGGCAGTTTTTAAATTATTATGTTTGGCTAAAAGTTTAAATAGTAATTTGTCTGAGTATTAGCAGTACCCTACCATCTCTGTAAACAAAGACCTAAAGTTAATAATTTATGAAAACGATTCACAGGGTATACAATGATACTGATTATATACTAAAGGTTATCCTAATCATCATATTATCTTATCATGTACTTTATCTTACTTTGTGTACATTTTTTTACCAAAGTTAAAAATTTAAAATAAGTTTTTGCCTCAATACCGTATACAGGGTTCTCTTGTGAATCTAATAAAGCGCTTTTTGGTTTTAATACCTTTTTATAATAACTTTTTCACTAAACTCTGAAATAAATTGTTCCTCCCCTAAAAGCCTGAAAGGTAACAAGCAGTTCTCGTTTAAAATTACAAAAGTTTTCCAATCAAGAGGTTGACCAGTCAGGATCTGTTCCTCTCATCCCAACAAATCTGTTTTAATTAAACTGCAAAAAATAATATCGAAGCTTTTTTGAACGCTTTTCAACCCTAGGCGTTCACACCCGGTTGGACTTCATCCCGCCAATAATTGTAGTCATGGATCATGGTTTAGATTGATTCTGAAATAACGCGAGGAATTTCAATTTATTGACAGGTTGAGGTCAGTAAACGTTTCCCGACTCGGCAGTTTGTTGTGTCAATCAGAAGCGATCCATCCATTTGATTTGATTGGAGCCTATAACTCATTGTTGAGCGCTTTGTGGAACTGTAATTTCAATCATAGGGGTGTTTTGTAATAATGTAGCTATTTTTTCCATTGTTCTTGATAGTATGGTTTGTAAATTATCCTATTCACATTTTGCCAGCTTTGTGTGGCATTTTTAGGGCGTCTTATGATGTCTCGCCAACACTAACACTATGGTCTATGAGTGAAAATTTAAAAACGTACATTTTCATGTCCCTGGCCTTTTACTTCGTAGATACTGGATTTGTAGTTTATTATTATGTGTTTTAATATTTTTTGGGACGGGGGCAACATGTTACACACATTTATTTGGTTTTAAATAGGTTCTAGGTATTTTTTTCGTATTTTTAAAGTTTCAAAATTCACGACCATGACGTGTCCCTAGGGTACATTTTCCAACTTTCACGCTGTTTTTAGACTAATTATTCATGCCGATATATATAAAGCAATATTTTTATGTCATCAATGGTTATTAAACTTACAAAAAAGGAGCATATTATAATTTTATTGTCATTACAAACTGACTACCATGACAAAATAAGTCTGTCCCTCGATTTGGCGTCACGACCATTTGGGGAAAATTTTCAACTTTGGAGCACGACAGTGGCAAGCCTGGCGTCGATGGAGTCAGTTGGTTTTAAAGAGTAGTTCGGGGTGTACGTCAGGATTGTAGTGCCGGTCGTTTCGAGTTGAAAGGAGGAATTACAAGATTAATAAAGGAAAGATAGTGTTTTTTGTAATTTTGGTGTGTCCATGACCGTACGTAGTCATTCGATGAAGTAGACATGGTGTTAATTTTTGTTTATGAGATATTTCAATTGCTAGATTAACCTAGAAGTCCACTTTGTATCCTCAAACATGAGGTGCTGGGCTACCGCCAGAACAGAGCCAAATAACACGTAATTTCACGACCAAAGTTTCACGACCATCGCGGGTTTTTTCACAACCAATCCAGCCTTATGGATTATAGTGTGTTTGGTCGTGACAATAACTTTAATATAATTGTAAATTGAACAGTTTAGTTCAATTGAAACACATATTTTTATTATAACTAACAGGATAATTGAAGGATTGTTTAGAAAGATTTAGATTATTCCAGACAATTCACGACCGTACCGCTTGTCCCTGACCACCACGTTTGTGATTTCTATCATAAAAATTTCAAAAGTTAAAATATCGTCATATTTCAATGTTTTATACACAAAAGAAGCACACCTCTATACAAACATAACGATTTTTCGGGTCTCAGGTAAGTTTTTTCGGAGTTATACAAACTTAAAAAGATTTTATTAGCTTTTTTTCAATTTTTTGAGTTTTTTTATTTTTTTCTAGAAAGACCAAATATACCAAAAGCTCAGTGACCTTTTTATTGTATAATGGCCATAAAAGTAAATTAGTTTATAGCAAAACATAGTCATAAAAATAATATTAACTATTTTTAATATTCATTGAAACGTCCGTTATGGTCGTGACAGGATTTTGTGTTTTTCCACTAAAGATGTTCTTTTAAAAAGAAACTACCTAAGATATTGCGTTACCATGGACATTTTATGAAACTTCAAATGTTAATGAAATAAAAAAATAATAAACGTTTTGAAAAAGGGGGAAAAAATTTGCAAAGTGCTTTTCCTGAAAACGTACGTTTTTAAATTTTCACTCCTATATTTACAAATATTTACTCTTGTCATCGTTGCAGTTTTTGAAAATAATCAATACAAATAAGGCACTACCTATACAGGGTGATTTGTACTCAGTGTGACAAAATTTTTTTGATGTAAGTACAAAGTAAATGAAGTGTGATGATGCATATCAAATTTTCCTAGTCTCAAAATTAGCGTCCCAAAAAATTATTTTATGTTTTTCAAAAATAACCATGTTTTTAAACTTAATACAGCGATTTCTCAATTACCTGTATATTGATTTGAGTAGATAATGTAATTTTCGCGTTCTACATTAAATTTTGAACAAGAATAATGGAAAATGACGGAGGATCAGTTGTAAAAACTCCATTGTAAATAGATTCAAAGATAACAATTAAGATGTTTGATAAAAATTTTAAAACCAATGGTCTATTGCATTTTTCACACCCTGTATACAAGAAAGTGTCGGAATATGTTAAAAACTGTGCCATTTTATAAGCTTTCCAACCATATGCTACACTATTGAGGTTTAGATATTTTTTTGTTTGTTTTAGTGGTTTGAATACCAAAAAACAGGGAACTTTTAACTGTTTTTACTGTTCAAGCTGAAACAAAAATACAACTTTTTTATTAATACAAGCCGACTTTCTGTGTATTAAATGTTAAAGACACTATGCTTTGTAGTATTCAAACCATTAAAGCGTACATAATCAGACATAAACCTCAATAGTGTAGCATATCGTTGGAAAGCTTATAAAATGGTGCAGTTTTTAACATATTCCGACACTTTCTTGTATACAGGGTGTGAAAAATGAAATAGACCATCGTTTTTAAAAGTTTTATCAAACATCTTAATTTTTATCTTTGAATCTATTTACAATGGAGTTTTTACAACTGATCCTTTGTCATTTTCTATTATTCTTGTTCAAAATTTAATGCAGAACGCGAAAATTACATTATCTACTCAAATCAATATACAGGTAATTGAGAAATCGCTGTATTAAGTTTAAAAACATGGTTATTTTTGAAAAAACATAAAATAATTTTTTGGGGAGCTAATTTTTAGACTTGGAACTTTTGATATGCATCATCACACTTCATTTACTTTGTACTTACACCAACAAATTTTTGTCACACTGAGTACAAATCACCCTGTATAAAATAATACCATTGAAAAACACTGAGCATAAACATTACTAGCAATACCATAACAAATAAATATATGAAAAAAGTTATGTCTTCTTTTTTGAACAACTTTTTAGCAAATACCAATTGAATACAAGCAAATGTTGGCATTAGCTTTCAAAACTAGCATAGTGTTTGGAGAGACATGCAATATAATTTTAAATTCAAATACCTTTTTAGCACAAACAAGTTTTGAACTCCCTGTGCTGATGAATGTTGATTTAAGTTCCTGCTTTGAAAACAGGATTTAGGGTATTTAACTTGTGCCCTCATCAACTCCGCAGAGCAGATTCTTGATTATTTACTGACTTATTAGTGGCTCCACTTTAGCCTTCTGGTCTGCCTTTGGAAGTTAAATAAGCTTTGTCATCAACCAGGAACTTTATTTTATTCAGTCAATTAATTGTTCTTTACCAATGCAATTAAAGCTGCATTTTAAAACCATTTTTTTAATTTTTGCAGATATTTTAAGCAAAGAATACAAACCCTGTATTCATTGTTCTAAATGTTAACATATTTTTTTGTGTTGGTAAAACAGCTGTATTGAAAGAAAAAGTTCCAGGTTCCAGATTCAAAAGTTAAAACCATTTATAGCTATGGAATAGTGGTTACAAAAAGTTAATTTATAACAAACTTAGGAAGTGATGAACAACTGGTTAGTTTACAGGAAAAAGTGCACTAAGGTATGACATAAATGATAGTAAAACATTTGAAGGTTGCCAAAATATATATGGGAAAACTGTGAACCTGATTTAAGAATCACACAGTAGTGTCACATTCGGTTGTTACAGAGTCTAGTAAAAGATGGCAGTTACATGGGGTGGCCGCAAAGAAACTACATTTGAAAATAGGATGGGTGATCCAAAAGACCCCAACGTTACAGTCATTGATGAAAATACTGATCCTAAACTCTTCATGAAGCAGTACATTTTACTGGCTAGACCTGCAATAAAATCAAGTGATGGACTTCCCCACCCTTACAAGTATGTATACACTTAATCATACATCAGTAGTTCTTTGTAGCATACACACATCAGAATGTAATAAAACACAGATATTAGATGAAAGATTTCTTCTTGAAAGATTCTTGATTGTGTGGTGTTTCAATGTTGTATGACATATATTGTTTTCCTCTCTAATGTACAGGCTAAAAGAAGCACAACAGAAATGCTGCTGATAAACTATAATTTAAACAATTAGATCGAAACATTCATGTTTAAGGCATGGTATTAGTTTTAGCTATACAAATGTCATAAATCATGCTTACAAAAAAAAAAAAAAAGAACTAACTAATAACTAAATAACTAATGTAGAGCAATAGAAGGAACAAATATTTAGTTTTAACAGCATGTCATAAAATTTAATTTCTTTACAGAAACTATTGTTTTAAGAAGCTACTATCTATTAGGTATATCGATAGACATTATAGATATTATAGATAATATAGATATCATTATATCGTTACGAGTAGAATAGGTTCAATGCTGTCAGTTTATATTGAACTTTGTTACTTTTTTGTTGCAGTTGGTTCAATATCCAAAGAGGAAAGTATCCAGTACCAAATATTGACGATGAAACGTTATTTTAACTGTGAATAATTTGAGACCCAACTAATTTAAAAATAACCTAGCTTATAAGTGTAATTTGTTTTGTTGAAATCAAATGATATTGAAATACAAAAAAATAGACAGTAATAAGGTACGATAGTGAATTTGTGGTATTTGACTATATTATTTGTATTTATTAGTCCTGTAAATAAACTATTGTAAATATGGTTGTTTTCAAACTCATTTAAGTGGAATAACTCGTCAACTATACAGCACATCGCAAGGCAGTTAACATTTAGTCAAGGATCCTAAGAAAACTAACAAACAATAATTAATTCCCTTTTGTTGTATTTTTTCTTGAGCTAGAAATGTTGAGTATCACTCTAGTATACAATTCGCCAGCTTGTGTGTCATATTGGCTCTCGACCAAGGTACCAGTCACTAGTGAGGTGTGTAAATAGTTGTTAATATAGACATTAGAGTAAGTGATAAGAAGATAGTGTAGAAAGATCCCCTTGAAGATGCCTCAGAAGCTGGTGAAATGTACTTATGGGATGGGGATTATCTGGTGATTGCTGAGGTTTCTGAACCATACAAGATCACTTTTTTGGTTTGGTATGAATGGATTTTGGTTTTCATTGACAACCATTTGGATTTGGACTTCAACAGTTTTCCTAAAGACCAATATTGTACACCTAATATTATACCAGTTGGCATTTTTCCTTTCTAACTAACATTATGGTATACCATCAGACAGACATTCAACCATAAATAAAGTATAAACACCCTAAGCCACTTCTCTTTAATAACATACGATAATTTGCTAGAAAAACATTCCTCTAACATGAGGTCAAATTATCGTAGCACAATATATTCAGACAGATACTATTTCTATATTATATACCATGTTCTAAAAAATTATAAATACCAATTGTTAGTTGAACAAAATAACTGCATTGCTCTGAAACAAACCTAAAATATTAACGTCATCTGCTAGTGAATAAAAAGATAACTAACTAAATTACAAACTAAATTAGCAAAAAAAATAACTGAAACCCATAATTAAAATAATTATGGTCTCCCCATTCCCTTTCTTTATAATAAACTTTCTTTTTAACAGAAGATTTAAGAACATCCATTAAGTGGTTGATTCACAAACCATGGGCAAAAAAACCTCATCATATTTTAATATATAAAATATTTTATTTTTATTTTTCAATTTAGTTCTTTTATTACTGCTGTAGCAGTATGGCTTTGAATATCATACCGTACTTAATAAACAGTGTGTTAAAAAAGTCCCGGAACGGCTTAATATTTGTTTAACCAAAATAGATATGGAGGTACAGTTTTGTATAAAGATATCAGATATTAAGATACAGATATCTATCATAAAAACCAACCTTTTTAAGCAATTATCAATTTTCCTCTCCTCCAGGGGGACGGCCCACAAGGAGTAAGAAGTAAATCTTTAAAGTAAGCATAGGTTGAGATGCACATCAAATTAAAGCTCTTTGTTAGTAAAACACAATGCCGCAAACCCGAAATCAAACGGACAACCGAGTCCAAAATAATGACAACCATTCAAAGATTCAACTATTCAATAACTTACCAGGAAGCCGCTAGAAGTCAGAAGAAAACCAAAAACGTATGCATAGATTGATATGCACATCAAATTAAAGGGCTTTTTTAGTAGAATACAATGCCGCAAATTTGAGCTCAAAATAACAAGTGAGTAAAAATTGGAAGCCGTTTAAAGATTCAAGATGGCAGATACAAGAAAAGATGGCAGATACAAGAAATCTTTGAACGACTGCCATTTTCGACCAAGTTGTCCGTTCATGTCAAAATTTGCGGCATTGTATTCTACTAGTAAACGCCTTTAAGGTGATGTGCATATCAATATCTTCTGAGAGGAAAATTGATAATTGCTTTAAATGTAGGTTTTTATGATAATGATAAATATATAGATACAAAAATGTACTACCGTATCTATTGTGGTTAAAAAAATACTAAGCCGTTACAGGACTTTTTTAACACACTGTATTTGGTAAAATGGTAAACAATTATCATAATAATCCATGTTTATAGAGAATGGTTTACTTTATAATTGAACCGTTCACAAAACTTTACAACTAAAATCTTTTTATTTAATGTTTAAATATCTCCAAAGCTATACAATATTAAGTTATCCTTACCTTTCAACTCTGTTCAATTTATGAATAATTTTATAAAAATAGAAACTAGTTCAAAAATCTACACCCCTAGTACGTTTATACAAAGGAATTTATCAAATCAAATCAAATCAAATCAATCAATCTTTATTCCAAGACAACAATATGTACAAAAGTCATACAATGCTGTATAGGCTGTGTCAATATGTAAACAGTGAATTAATAAAACATTTCAAAGGTCAAAGCAATTGTCAAAATATTCTTCTAAGTCATAAAAACAGTATTTCAATAACAAATTCTTAACAGCTATTTTAAATTTATCTAATGGTAACTCTTGAATATAATATGGCAGATGATTGAATAACTTAATCGAGGAATATTTAAAGCTTTTTTGAGTAATACTATAAGTACATCAGTAATAATTTCTCAGTTTAGCACAGTTTCTGGTCTTATAACTATGGACATCACAGTGGGAAGACAAAGGGTGTAAGTTCTTTTTACAATAAATAAGACAGTGAAAAATATATATACAAATAAGAGGCATGACAGATAAACAACTAAACATTGGCTTACAATGAGTTTTCGGTGGAACACCAGCAATTTTTCTAAGAGCTCTCTTCTGCAACACAAATAAATATTTTACATAACCACAATTAGCCCAAAGAAAGGTACCATAGGTAAGATGACAGTGTATGTAGCTACAGTAAACAGTAAGCAGAACTTCCATTGAAACAACATTTTTTAGTTTTCTTAATACAAACATACCTTTGGACATTTTAACAGCTACAAATTCTATATGTGATTCCCATTTCAAGTTGCTCTGAATTAAGATACCGTTTATATATACGTTTAAGATATACGTTTATAAATGAGATTAACATTTCCGAGTCTTTCCTAGTTTGCCAGCAAGTTGTAAACTTTCTCATCCCTGTAAACTAGTTAGCATCACCAAGAGTGACAAGTTAACTACCAAGACTAACTATGTTAACTAACTCTACTGACTTCGCCATCTTATCTTATGTGGTATTTTACATGTAAAGTTATGATTTAGTCAGTTTTATTTTCATTAACCTGTATTGAAACAAGTTTTTTTAATTTTTGCAAGAACTACTGTGTAAAAAAATCTATCAATTTGATTTGAATTGCAGTGTAAAATAAAAAAAAAATTTCATTATATGAAAAAAGCAAATGAAAATGTTATAATTACCGCTTTCTTGCTGTGGAGGATACCAATAATTAATAAATGTTTCATACACAAACCACAATTTAAAAGTCTTTTGCCCATAAGACCCCCAGGTCATCACCAAAATGAGACAAGCCGATAGGCAAATATGTCCTCCTTATGTTTATTTCTATGGTTTTAGTCGTATTAAAAACAGAAATACATTTTTTATTAAGCCTGATTGTTCAAACACAAGTATTTAACGTAATACAAATGATGCTGGTTGGCATCATTTTATTATATGTTTAGTTCTTGAAACCAACTAGACAAACCAATCAAACTAATACAGTTTAAGATTTAAACATCTAAAATAGGTAATAAGTTCAACAATTATTTTATGAATTATTTTGGTAAACTCCAATCAGGCTAATGGAAATTCACTCAGCATGCAGGTTTGCTACGACAGAGAAGTATTCAAATAACTGTAAACATTTCATCATTAATATTAACACAAAATCAGGTATTTTGTTAAAATACAAATGAATATTTACATTACTGTGTTTAAAGAGCACTTCCATTAGATTAAAAGTTTGGCAAATAATGATACAGAATAAACACGTAGTCTCATATTGTCTAGATAGTTGCAGAGGTCCAAAAACAAATATTCATTACATAAACAAACGCTAAATGCTGCAGACCAGCAAAGCTCTCAGGTCAGGTGTGTATGAACACCAAGTTAAACTAAACAGGTGTGATTTTGTTGTTTGTTCTATGTAGCTGGAACGTTTCAATTGAGGGAAGCAAGTAACTGTTTGTTCAACTCGGAGAGTTTCTACGTGTTGTCCTCCGGAAACACTTTGTTTGCAACTCAACTAGTTTTATTCAGTTTGCACAGTTTGGGTAGAGAATCACAGTTTTAAACAGATATGCATACAAACAGAAGATCCATTAGTCTAGTAAAATTATGATTTGACCTGGGCAAAATTGATTCATAAACCATTGAAGTGTTATTCGACTCAAAAAATGTTACTTTACAACATATCCAAAATCCGACATAATCCGACCATTAGTACGGTGTGTACACCAAAAAAAGCTGCACTTTTTGATTGAGATATGGCACTTTCAGTGGTCATAGCTGATACCAAAAGGGAACTTCTCAGATAGGGAGCCACTTCAAATTCCGTGTAGGACACCAAAATGGCGGCCATTAAAGATGGCCGCCATATGCCCCCGTACTGTTGCACAATATTTGTTGTATCTCAGCTTCTAATGGTCTGATTTCAATAATTATTTTTTTATATTAAAGCTGTTTTGTAGAGGAAACTTTTTTGTATTTGACATTTAACTGTAAAACCTAATCGTTCTGCAGAATCTTTAAAAACTAAAAGAATAATATTTTATGAAAGTTTTGGTCAGTAACATTATACTGTAGTTGTGCTAAAAATAATCAGATTTTTATGAAATTTGGTATAAACACGTATACCTACATTTATTCTAAACAAGTTTTCGAACCAGCATGACCGTACCATAAGAACGGCGAATTATGGGGGTTTTATGGGGTAAAAATCGGTTTTTACCATTCTCGAACCTAACACATAAAATTTTGCAATTTCTTTCCAAACCATTATTTTGTAGAGCTTAAAAAAAAGAAATAATTGAGTATACTGAAGCACTGTTGTATGCATAACGGTTACAGAGAAAATTAAAAACAAGCGTAAAATTAAAAAATCCCATGTTATTCTTATGGAGTAAATTTACACTATTGTAGTTTACTTGTTTATGCTGATTAAATTGGCAAAATTTATTTATTTAATCCTATGCTACTAACGTTTGGTCAAAAAACACTATTTACCTTTCCCGTAGCAGCAAACCTAAGCACTCATTAAATCTA